GGGTCACTGGAGAGCAAGTGTACTCCTATGACTCACAAGAGAAGCATGGCCCAAAAAAGGCTTTGGCCATACTTCTCTTTTAAGTGTTTCTTTTTCTTTACAAAGCCCCTGTGAAATTTCATGTTCAGCTACAACATTCATGACAACTAAATAAAGAAGTCCAAATAGTTAATCAGAATCCACTACTTCACCCATGAGAGACAAGATGGTGATCTGATTGATTGCTTTCAATTACTGAACTTAAGAATAAGAACTTTTTTTATTGATTAAGGCCAATTGTGTTAAGTGTTAAATTTATTACGGACAGCTATTAAGTCCCAAAAATATAATAACCCTCCTTTTTCATAATTATTTTTGCTTTTAATTTTTAGGATAAGTGCTAAAACCCATTATATATAGTGTGAATCCTTGTGAGCTATTATGAATATAGCATTCAGTAGGTGTTTTAAATAATGTACTAATCTTTAGTGTATGGTGCGCTGGCACTTACACAAACTCACTAGGTAGTGTCAGATCAATATAAATGGTATTTAAAGTGCCGCGCTCCTATTATTGTGCATAATATCTCTATATCCAATCTGTACTCATTAGACTCAATCAATAGATATATGAATCAAGTGTAAATCATAATGATAATAATAAGTGATAATCCATAAATTAATCAATACGATAAAATTATTACCAGTGAATTACCAATACACACATACACAACCTAAATGTGTGTGATGAAAAATATAAAACCTTATAATAATGTGAATAATGAGTGAATATTTAAAATATAAATATACATATAATTAGTGCCATTCTAATTATATACAATCAATTCAACAATAATTGTGCAACTATACACTCCCATGTGCACGTGCATAGGTGTAATAAATAAATAAATAAAAGTCTTTGTAAAAAAGTGCCAAAGTGAGGGTGATTCCTTGTTTCCTCTCGCCAGGTGCCTTATGGTCTCCCTATGCGCTCACCTTTATGTTTGCCTGAATGAATTCAGGCAAATACGCTTTTTGATCCTTCCAGGATCGATGGATTAAAGCTCTGTGTTGTAGATGTGTCAAGGTGTGGATGTAGGTACTCCTGTACTCTCCTCTTTCTCCTTTTTCCACTGCTCATACACCGATTATGAGACCAGCTTTATCTCCTTATTCCCCACCAGGGGTCATCTCCTTCTCATTTCCTCCTCTCACCCATATGGAATTTGGGGGTCAGATGTAGAGAAAATAAAACAAACGATGGTGCCTTATCCTTTTAAATGATGGAAGTTTATTTCTGCCTGTAGCGGTATTACACAGCTATATACATTTCCTTGGTGGTACAGGGCGGCATATATATCGTATACAAATATTGGGTGAGCAATCCTCTATCTCTGCTCTCCCTCCCTGCCTGCCTCTGTCTGCAGTCGGAATTGCCGAGCCTCGGCAATTCCGACTGCAGACAGAGGCAGGCAGGGAGGGAGAGCAGAGATAGAGGATTGCTCACCCAATATTTGTATACGATATATATGCCGCCCTGTACCACCAAGGAAATGTATATAGCTGTGTAATACCGCTACAGGCAGAAATAAACTTCCATCATTTAAAAGGATAAGGCACCATCGTTTGTTTTATTTTCTCTACATCTGACCCCCAAATTCCATATGGGTGAGAGGAGGAAATGAGGAGATGACCCCTGGTGGGGAATAATGAGATAAAGCTGGTCTCATAATCGGTGTATGAGCAGTGGAAAAAGGAGAAAGAGGAGAGTACAGGAGTACCTACATCCACACCTTGGCACATCTACAACACAGAGCTTTAATCCATCGATCCTGGAAGGATCAAAAAGCGTATTTGCCTGAATTCATTCAGGCAAACATAAAGGTGAGCGCATAGGGAGACCATAAGGCACCTGGCGAGAGGAAACAAGGAATCACCCTCACTTTGGCACTTTTTTACAAAGACTTTTATTTATTTATTTATTACACCTATGCACGTGCACATGGGAGTGTATAGTTGCACAATTATTGTTAAATTGATTGTATATAATTAGAATGGCACTAATTATATGTATATTTATATTTTAAATATTCACTCATTATTCACATTATATTAAGGTTTTATATTTTTCATCACACACATTTAGGTTGTGTATGTGTGTATTGGTAATTCACTGGTAATAATTTTATCGTATTGATTAATTTATGGATTATCACTTATTATCATTATGATTTACACTTGATTCATATATCTATTGATTGAGTCTAATGAGTACAGATTGGATATAGAGATATTATGCACAATAATAGGAGCGCGGCACTTTAAATACCATTTATAGTGCTAAAACCCAACTTCAACTATCTGGCAAATTTGCCTCCTTTATCCCTTAAATGGGATGACATTGTTAGGTAGGGTAGTGAGATAGTTACACAGAGGAATTAAATTATTTATATATCTTGCTCCCTTAGGACTACATTAGCCTTGGAAATGTATGTTGTGTGTATTATCAGGAAAAAGGTAAAAATGTATACATTACATAACAAAAAGTTATAGAACATCAGTATAAAAATGTACAAACTAAAAAAAGAACCTTTTAATTGCTTAATATGACCTTTGGGAAATAATTAGATTTGGGGAAAGACCTACTGAACACTTCTTCCAAAGTTGCTTATGTAACTCTCCTGTCTTGAATCAGATTTATCAGAACCAAAAACAAATTAAACAATCAAGAAAAACAAAATGAATAAAAAATATAAAAGGAACTATGTGTTACCACAGAAAATCCAAATATGTGACTTAAATGTGAGGCATGCAGATGAAAATGATTATATTTTAAGTGTGTCCATCACCTGCATGCAGCTATTTTGTATAATTGACCAAGTGGCAGGGTTAAGGGCCCCTACTACTTTATAATAGCTGTTTTTGCCAAGCATTAGTAACAGACACACTTGACAGAACACCTGTATTTAATCTGAGAAATGCTATGTTTAAAGGTGGTGGATAGGAGACTCATTTTGATGATGTAGGTTTTACAGTATTTTGGAAGAGTGATATTGATTTCCAATTACTACCAATTAAGGCAAATCCTTGTTAAAGTGAAGTGTATCTGAAGCCATACCTTTTTCGTGTTTGTTTTGGATAGCAATGGTTATAACAGTAATTATTAACCTTTTTTTAGTTAAGGCACTCATCAAAATTGTGCACAATCCTGGGGCACACCAGTCTGGGGGCAAGGAGGTGCATCCGAGCATGTTTGTGTGTGTTTTTTTTTTTTTCTGTGCGTTCCGGCACGTTGTGATTTTAATGGGCTTCTCTATGCATGTGTATTGCTGTAGCATGCATTTAGCATGCACAAACGTATGGGCATTTGCTAGATGCAAGGAGGTGCCATTAGGAGTTATTAGCACCTACACACATCTGCAAAAGGAAGCATATTTTTGTGCAGTGTGGAAAAACAAGGAAGTTTGCACTTTACCAGACTGCACCTGATGTGAACAAGCCCTAACATGTAGTCTGTATGTTGTAGGTTCTAAAGCTTCTCCCCCCAAATCCCCCTTCGTAGCACAAATATTGTCCCTCTCACCAGCAGAAAGTAGAGAGCCAGGAGGAGGTAGGTGGGCAGGGCTCTCTCTAGCATCCCAACCACCAAGCTTCTCTCCCTCCTGTCTGCATGGAAGAGATAACACAAGGTCGATCAGATTGGACTATACAGGGTTTCATTCCCCCCAAAATTTCTGCTGCTGGGACAGGCTCATTGTGGGGAGGAGATATGGGGCGGTAATCAATCAACTCCTTGTACATTTGGATTTGAGAGTGATCTTGTATACAGAGAGGAGGGAGACAGCACAGCCCACAACTCTTCCCAGCCCTCACCTTCTTTCTGCTGCTATCTGTACTAAAGTTGGCAATCCAGAAAGCTATGTGGGCCACCAGACATGTCCTTCGCAAATAATGAGATCAATGGTTGGTAGGACACAGACAGTGGCCCGCACAGCTTTTCTGGGTTGCCGACTTTAGTTCAGAGAGGAGGAGATAGCTGGGAGGAGGTGCAGCTATCCTCCTCTCCCTCCTCTGGATACAGTAATAGGTTAACACAGGATCACTCTCAGAGCCAAATGTACAAGGTTGAGACAGTTTTTTTTTTTCTCCTTTTGCACCCCAGTTGAGAAACGCCGGGTTAGAACATTTGTCATGTTTTTAACATTTTTTTTTTTTTGCTGCCTGTGTCCCGTTGTTTTCCTTTACTTTCAGTCCTGAAAGCAAGTGAGACCAAATGTCTTCAAAGTCAGTCTTTTACACAGTTGTTATGGGAATGGTTTTCCCAATTTGAGGAGTCCCTTCAAATCTTGTTTCGGTGGACGAAAACAATGAAAACTTGACTCCATGCACATCTAAAAATTTGAGCTTAAGATACGCTTTAATGCAGGGTAAAATGATGGTCTTTGCAAGGGCCCCCTACCCATGTACTACCAAAGCCTCCTTGCCTGCCTCTGTTGCCGCCAACAGTAAAATCTCCATTTCACTCCCTCTGTAATGCGACAGTGTTTTGCCTAAAGATTTCCTGCTCAACCCAAGCACTGGAGGAGGTATGCTCCCCATACCTGGAAGCATTGGGTATTGTTGCTGGTTGCATTGGAGAAAGGAGCAGTGATACTCGCCCCTGCTGTCAAGGGTGAGTATCAGGTGTTGGGGGGAGGTGAGCATTTACAAAGACACTGTCAATATTCTGCATGGGAAAAGCTCATAGTGTCTTTTAAGCTTGTCCCCTGGCAGCATTTAAAGAGTTCATCACTGTAAGAGGTGGCAAACTATACCATATTCTGATCTGTTTCCTGAACTGTGTCTCTGGCCCTTAATTTCCAACAGTTCAGTGCTGTATTAATAACACACCTTTCCAAAACACACTAAAACCTTCTCTGGTTGAACAGTGCTCAACTCCACCACATTATGTTTATTACTAGAGTACAGGTGAGCTTAAAGATTAACTTGTCAAAAAGGAGAGAACCCACCACCTCTATGTACCTGTACACACAGCTGCGACTTCTGGGTGAGTTTCGTACTGGGACCCTCCAGTTGGGACCCAGCGTGGCATACATACGACTCCTGTTTGCAAATTTAAATGTAAGTTTGACAAACCGTGCATGATGCAAGAAAGAAAAAACACATGCAAAAAATCCAAACAACTGTTATTAAATGCCTCCCCCCATATTAATGTTAGATCGCTTCACAGTCTTCAGCAAAATACTGAATGCCTTAGAGGATCATGCCACACGGTCAGTGACTGGAGTTGTACTAGATATTATTTCATTAACTTCTGAGGCTTGTGTGAAGTTTTGAGTTAAGTAAGTGAGCAGCTCATTTCTGTATGTGGTAATAGTTACCAATTTCCTGGACAACTTCTCATGCAACATAATTAATCTATACTGCAGGCCACCCATGGCCTATGGTGATGTCATAATTTAAGAACAAATATTACTTGAATTTAGTTCTCTCTAGTAACTTTAAACCTTGCTTATCTGTATACTGAAATGGAATACTAGAACATTTTTATTCCATACTGCTAATACCTGTAATTAGAAAAGAGATATTCAATTGTGTATAAACTATTGCTCCTGCATAAGATTACTTTTTTTTTCCACTCTGTGAAAATCTACATGATCCACTACACCAGCATTGGAAATTAGAAGCTACTTTGTAATAGAACACATTTCTATAATATTTAAGTAGTAGAAGCTATCTTATTTAAACTGGGTAACTATAGCCCTTTTGATTTTTTTTTTCGATATACATGCAACAAAAATAGAATTAAAATAAAAACAACGTTATTATCGTGTGTTGAAGTATAACTAAAGGCAAAACATTTTTTTTTTTTCTACCACTGCCAGGTTTTTATTGCTTTCCGTGTCCCCATTAGGAAGATTCAGTCTCTCTAATTGTCCTGATCACCAGTATCACTGGGAATTAAGATGGGATTAAATTCAAGATTTTGAGTTGCCACAAAGAAGAAATATTCTGAATGGCTACATTTGTTCCGTGACACTGTCTAGGAGGGGATACCCTTGACACTCCCTGTTGAATCTATGGGACAGGAAGAGAAAGCAAATACCCTATAAGATGCAGATGGCAAAAAAATTACAGTGGTTTTAACCCTACAAAGTGTTTTGACTTTAGATATACTTTAATGTATTGTTCATTAAAGGCTTTATGTATACATGGGGGGGTAGGCATTGTTCTTATCTTAATGCTGATTGAAATCCGTAGACACTCCATCATAATGAATGGTAGATATTGGACATGATATGTGAATTCGGATGAGCCTTCATTGTTCAGTCACTGAACAAGTTGCTGTGGACAAGTGATTCACTGTTCCTCCAGGTTTGTACACCACTCAACCTCCACCCAAGTAGTGGCTGTGGATTAGAGTGTTTTTACAAAGAACACAAGACGTTCTACAGGGTCTACCACATGGAACACCAGGGGGCACACAGAGTACGTGTACAGTATAAACTGAGACAAACACAGTAATATGTGAAAACTTGTTCAACCTGCTTCAGCATTAATCTAATCATAAGACAAAAAGGTTGTTTTATATGAATAAACATCTATTATTTGTACCTTCCACTAAAGCTTTAATTTCTCTTTCTTAAGCATTATTTATCCACTTCTATATTTCCTCCTCTAGAGCTGTTAAATGTGCAGATACCAAAATAGTAATTTTTCTGAAAACAGAAAACCTCCTTTTTATGTTAAAATAACTCCATAAGATTGTTGGGTGAAGCACTACACATGTCTTGGTAGACTGACTGGGTAATCAGAAGAGTTATATGGCTTTTTTTTTTTAAATTCATGACCAAAATTCCTAAGCGAATCTTTTTTTGAAATTTTTATCTTGTAAATTTTCTGTATTAGTAACTGATATATTTGTAATATGTATATTACCTAACACGCATATACAATAGCTTCTCTCTGGCTTTAAAGATCAGTGTGAATAGCTCTTTAAAAAAAAAAAAAATCAGTTGACCAGAGCTTACCTGTCAAGAACAGAAGACACATCCTCACTGAATTCTGAACTTTCACTACTGCCTATGATACAAAATACAAGAAATGTAATCAGATGTAAAAAACAGATGCACTATTAAGTTCTTGTGTTTTATGACCAAAACCAGCCATAAAGAAAGCTGCTAAAAATGCGGAGACCAAAAGTAGTTGCTATGATTGCAATTTAAAACACAATTAAATTATGAAATATATACTGTAGATAGTGAGACTACACCCACCACATTCTATGGTCACAATGCTCCTTTTACCTCACTCTCTCCTCTTCTCCTGTTTTGGTGCTCCCTTCTCACCTAATTCTCACTCCAACAGTGCCGCTTCCTTAACATAATATCCCTCCTGGTCACAGTGCTCCTCATCTCAACACCTTTGCCACCATGCCTCTCTGACCCACAACAAATCCCTCCCATCCAGTCCACAGTGCTTCCCTATCTGCGTACCTCTCCCTCCCACCTCACCCCACAGTGATGGTACCTCCCTACCATCCACCTGTAGCTGCCAGGTGGCCATTGCACTGAGCTAGGTTCTGCAGGAGCTGCCAATTCTCAATGCTCTGCAGCACCTCCTGTCCATGCCAACCCCAGGTCACAGGACCTCCCACCCACCCCCCTCAGCTACAGTGCCTCCAAAAATCCCTTCCACTCCTACCCACCCCAATCACAGTGCTTACCTCCCGATTCCATCCTACCTCACCCTCCCCTTATGCCTCACCCCAATCCCCAGTCACAACATCTTCCTTCAGATATCACCCCCAGGTCACATTGCCTCCCTCCCTTGCTCCTATCTGGTCCCAGCACCTCCTCCCCACCCACATTACTACCAACATCACAGCAATTCCCATTCATTCCAAGCCCCCCCCCCTTCATTTCACACCCGCTACTGGCTACTACAACCAACTCCCAACACAGGGCATTTCTCCCTGACCAACTCGCTCCTAGCCTACAGTTTATTACTTGTTAGCTACTTCGCCTCCCCCCATCACAACAAACACTCATTTCCCTCCCTGGCCACCTCACACCTCCCAGTGCAGTCAGAGAAAATCTCTCCTCACCGACCTCTGCTGCTCCTTCCCACGGACACCATCCCTCCCATATAGTACATCCGTCTATGCATTTACCATCTGCTTACAGTACATGCCTCACCACTCCACCGTCATGACAACCTCATTCATCCATTCATCACATCAGTGCAAACAGATCCCCCACTCCACCAGTGGCCCCTGTCACCTGCACAGTACAATTCATTATATCACTCAACTCCACCAATGTATGCTTCTAGAGCAGGTACATGTTTGCTAGTATATATAATTTCTAACCCTCCACAATAGCCCAGAATTTTAAAATGCAGTCACTGTGTTGGTTTAGAGCAGGGGTCTTCAAACTTTCTAAACAAAGGGACAGTTTTCTTCAGACTTTGGGGGGTGGACAGTGGCCAGTGGGAGTAGATAATGCCTCAGATTTGGTGGTCAGTGGGAGTATTTAAAAAAATACATGGCACCCCCGTGGTAAGTATGAGGAGGAAGAGTGCTCCATCATTTGGTATTAGTGGGAGGAATAGTGCCTCTATTGTTGATGTCAGTGGGGAGAATAGTGCCCCATTGTTGGTATCAGTGGAAGAAATTGTTCCCCATCATTAGTTTCAGAGGAAGAAATTGCGCCTCATCATTGGTGGAAGGAATAGTGCCTCATCATTGGTGTTGGTGGAAAGAATAGTGTCCCTGCCCCATCAGTGGTGTCAGTAGGAGGAATAATACTCCATTGTTGACGTCAGAGGAAGGAATATTGTCTTGTATCAGTGGGGAGGAATAGTGCTCCAAGAGCTGGATATAGACAAGCAAAGAGCAGCAGTTTGGAGACCGCAGGTTTAGTGCAAAGCCTTATATAGTTCCCTACAGACTCATCCGACAAGAGGCTGCAGTGCCATCTCAGCACTGTGAAAAGTCTTCTGAATTTTCCTTTATAATTCGGGCAGCACAGTGGCTAAATGGTTAGCACTTCTGCCTGGCAGTACTAGGGTCATTGGTTTGAATCCCAACCATGGCACCACCTGCCTGGAGTTTGCATGTTCTCCCTGTGCCTGCGTGGGTTTTCTCCGGGTACTCCGGTTTCCTCCCACACTCCAAAGACATGCTGCTAGGTGAATTGGATCCTGTCTAAATTGTCCCTAGTATGTGTATGTAGGAATGTGAGTTAGGGACCTTAGATTGTACACCCCTCAAGGGTTAGGGTCTGATGTGAACATACAATACATATGTAAAGCGCTGCGTAAATTGACGGCGCTATATAAGTACCTGAAATAAATAAATAATAATTGTACAGAGTGCACTTCCTCAATTTGGCACACAGCAGGTGTTTCCTGCATAAAATCAGCATTTCACTGACTAATTCTGCATTCGACTTTTAACAGTTGCAGTACAGATGTCCTTTACTTACTGTCGTTACCCAAGTTAGCTCTTAGGTAACGGCTGTAATTTTTCCTATCGCCGTCTGTAGCCAAAGCGCTAAATCCTGGCAGTGTGAGAGCTTGTGGGTACACGTTCTGACATTCATAATGTGCATGTTTTATACAAGCCTCTGTTCCGAGAGGTGAAGATGTTATAAATTTTATGGTGGCTGCTGGCAGGTGGGAAGGTATCACTAATCAGCCAATTATGTTGGCGTGAACACGAGAGGTAGAGAAGTATAACACGTGCAGAGATATAACTCTCAGGTAGGTGCTGGGGAGACTTACATTCAATATTAGCACACAGAGTGCCCAAAATGTATACTGTTTATTGTTTTAAAGGTAGCCACATTTCACATATTTGCAGGACCTGCTTGGTAGTGGAAGACAGTGCCTGTACTTTACTGTTCCTCTCGGTCAGTGGAAATTACTTGTCAGATGACGCTGACTTAATCACAATTTAGCTTATTTTATGAATTTTCATTCAGTAAACAAAAATGTAATTAGTATAGAAAAAAATGTAATGAAAATATGGAACAGCTAGCTCGTAAAATGTGAACATAGCATTCATATAAACTTTACAATAGTACCATACAAT